TATAAAGAAACGTTTGCAAAACTTATAAGAACTGTGTGTAATTCCTGTTGAAGAACAAATGATTTTAAATTACTCGCTACTAAAACATCATTATTTAGAACAACACAATCCCATATTTCCAATCTCCATGGCTATTTGCGATTAATACCGCCAACATATACCTGAGTTATATGTGAAAGAACAAAATTCTGAAGAGGAAAAATATAAAATCCTTCCCATTATTTCAGAAACCATACATATCACTGCTACAAAGCATATCGTAATAGCAATGCCTGTAGGTTAGTAGATCCCGAACAGCTTTTGATTTGTAATTGTCGGAATTTTGGCCATTCTGGATTTTACTAAAGGTAAACAAACGGTGGATAGTTGACGTTATGAATTACAACGGAAGACTGTATATTTACGTATTTATATTTCGCTTTTAATTATGAACAAAACTTTAATTATGCATATCAAACATCAATTTACATTTTAATATTTTATTTTTATTATGTTATTATTTCGAGCTTAAGACGGACAGGTCCCATGGTGTAATGGTTAGCACTCTGGACTTTGAATCCAGCGATCCGAGTTCAAATCTCGGTGGGACCTACGCGATATTTTTTTTAACAAATACAGTATATTTTTTACATTTGCATCACATAACACTAAACAATTTTGGAGAAAATAAAGTCAGAGGTGACAAAGACGGCATACGATTAAGTATCTACTGATTAAGAATTGTAATAGGCTATGTACAACAGTACGATGTGGGCTACTTTATCGCATTCCCCAGTGGCGCAATCGGTTAGCGCACGGTACTTATATGACAGTGTCCGAGCTATGCCGGGGTTGTGAGTTCGAGCCTCACCTGGGGAAAGTGTTTTGTATCATTCACCAATATTTAGTTAGTTACCCGGTTGCGACCAATTTTGGAGCTTGTAAGTAAACGTCATAAAAGAATACATATTGTGACACGTTACAGCCCTTAGAAAACGTTGGGTAAATTCACTGGAAACCACAGGCTCGACACCAAACACTTTTTTACTTATCAGCGCAGGTACTTGGAGAAACAGAAGTAAGAGTCAATCTCCCAAAGGTTTGCAACAATGATCTAGTATCGTTACCTGGTTTGCTTCCCCTCTCGAATCTGATATCCACCCCTCTCATTCAACAGTTTTCGTTTGTGCTTTGAAATACCGCATAACAATATTTTGTGACGTTGGTTATACTGCAAAAATGCAATTGAACATTTGAAAACAAAACACGCGTGCTGAGTTTCGCTTCTCTATGTGCACATCTTTTCCCTAGTGTTTCTCCTAACCTAAAAATGGTTATTTACAATTGCTGTGCAATTAGTTGTGGAAATAACAGAACAAACAGGCCAGGCTTAAAGTTTTTTCGATTACCATGTAACAGTTCTGAGAGGTCTGTGAAATGTGTACTTGTCTAGTTTATTATAAACCTCTGATAATTTTTAAGCAATACGTAGAGCATTAATAATAATTCCACTTTATATGTATGCATAATTCTCACTAATACTGCCCTCTTAATTTTCAGAATGTGGGAATGGATTGTAAACTTAGGAAGAGTGGATCTGCTGAGCAAAGACATGAATGAATTATGTTCATATATTGTTTGTGCAGAGCATTTTGAAATGCATTACTTTTTGAATGAACAGAGGAGAAAACTTGTGCATAATGCTGTGCCAACTATTTTTAATCATTACTCACATGATGGGGATGTCCCGCTCATCCTTGAAACTTTAAACAGGTATTGCTATTGCATGTAAAACATTTATTTATAAAATAACAATGATCATTATGTTCAGTGTAAACTGTACTATTTGTCTCCAGATCATCTGCCTCCTATGTTGTAGGACAGTTCAGCCTCTATATATTAATACATTGGACCTAACTTGATGGGTAAGAATAATTTGTTATAAACAAAATTGGTAAATTTAGGAACCTGTTTAACAGTTTGCTTTAATTCTACTGTCCGAGAGAAAATTCAGTGCATCAGGTCTGCCACTTAAAGAAGAATATTAAGCATATCAGTTTTGAGCAAAATCAGTAAATTATGTCTTCCAACTCTCAGCAATACCTAAATGTTTCTATGTATGTCTTATATAACATTTAACTTGGCTGAGGTATGTTTAAAATGTATGCCAGTTACCCATGATTTGCACAGAAAAAAGTGATCAATTGCTAACTGTACTGTGACTTCTAATACTGTACAGGGAACATCCCTCAGGACTGTTTATGCATCTGACCTACCTTTAAGAATAACAGCCAATTATGTACTGTTAAGTATGTGGTTGTAGGAAGCATAAATGCATCCAATTTATTTCAGGATTCAGAATGAGGCTGCAGCATTGGATGGTTGTGATGAACACATACAAGAACCAGCGCAGTGTAGCCAAAAATTTCCAGAAGAAACAAAATCTCTTGCTGTTAACTCACAACGTGGTGCAACCAAATCATACAAATGTCAACTGTGCAATGAGATTTTCCTCAGTGCCCATGAGTTGTTTTCACATGAGCTCAAAAACCATGAACATGTTGGAACATCACAAACTAACCAAATTAAGAAACCGTCATTACAGATGCGAGGTCAGTGTGAGGAAATTTTCAGTTCTAAGAATGGTGTATATCAGACTGAGATACATGATAGGAATCCACGGGCAGAGGCTCTTAACATGAGAAATTCACATAAGGAACAAACAGGCATTTGCAACATGGGACAGGAGCAAGATGGAAATGAACAAGCAGAACAGAAACCTGAGGAGCAATATAGATGCAGGTTATGTACAGAAATTTTCAGTTCATTGAGTGATTCACTGCAACATGAAATTAAACATGGCCGGGAAGTAGACGCTAATACTGATAATGTTAATAGCAAACAGGACACCACAGAGGAGCATATTAGTGTGTACATGTGCCATCTGTGCAAGAAAATTTTCAGTTCAGAGACAGATGTTTCGATGCATGAAATTCGGAAACACGGCAGTGTCACTTCTGACCAGAATGTATATGTTGTATCTGAAGAATTGTTTACTTCAGGAAGTGACTCTCAAGACCATAACAAAGAGCCTGAATTTTTACAGCAAGGTGATGATTATTTTGAATCCAGCATATCAAAGAAAGAGGAAGGAAGTGCATCTGAAACAATTAAGTTTCCTGAGCGAATGACATCATCTACATCTCAAGAGACGCCTTTACCATATAAATGCCATACTTGTGGCAAATCTTTTGAAACAAAATGTCACCTCTTTTATCATGATCTTGAGGTCCATGTTGGAATCACAAAACCAGGAAATGTACAATCAACAACTTCTAATGAAGGGGGAATGAAGAGAATAGCAAAGCGTACCCTTGAACAAAAGCCGATGAAAGTGAAGGTAAAAGAAAAACAGAAAGTAGATGCGCCTAAAGCGAAGCAACTAACAATAAAGAAAATATGGAAAGCAGATGCTCGAGATAGGATTATTGAAAAAATTATTATGAAAGAAAGAATAATAAAGGGAAAAGGAATGAAAACTAAAGTGGAAGGTGAAAAACTTCATGAACATATACAAAAGAATATTGAAGTTTTCACTGGAAAGAGCCCATGGAAAGAAAAATCAGATGAAATAGGGGGAGAAAATAAAGTGGTTGTACAGAGTGGTCAGACACAACAAAGGACATTTGTAATAATAAAGAAAGGATCACAGAGTGGGGAAGGAAATCAGAAGGTATCATTAGATGTCATTACAAATTATGTGCTCTCACAATCACAAGTTAAGCAGTTTCTGATGAATGATGGTGACTGGTATAAAGAATTATGTAAAACCATATAGCTATATTACATGTCTTATACGTAATTCCCCGAATATTCAGAGTTGATTAGGTTGAAGCTTTCACAACTTATTAATGAAAGTTTATTTTTATATTAATGGAGTATTCACAAGCTGTATTCATAATATTAATTTGAATATATGGGTTGAATGCTCTAAGGTGGAATTTATGTATGCTATTTACTTACAGTAGCCTGATATTTCATGTATTTCTTGCCGTTTATGGATTATCAGTCTCTACAGCCATAAGTAACACCCAGCAGGTATTGAAACACAAAACATGTTATTTTTCTTGCTATTTAGGTACATTCACAACTGCAAGTTGCAAAGTGTACCTGTTAGATTTGCCAAATCTGTCCACATGTAACAGCTTGAAAACTGCTGAACAGACTTTAATGATATTCCATATTGAGTTTACTTAAATTTGTTGACACATTCCACTTTTGATTTATATCAGACTAGTCTAAATTATTTGGACAGTTCTGTGCAACGTGTCACTACATTCATACCTGGTGGATAAAAATGACCTGTACTACCTTATAAAAGAAAATCAGGTGACATTAATAGCATCCATTGTCCTTGAAATTAACATAATTATTTTTGGAACTCTGTATATAACTGTAGTCAAGCCAGAATGGTGTTTGAGTACTTGTTTGAATGCTGGGGCACTTCCCTGGCACTTATTTTAGCCATTTTTTAGAGAATAGCTATTAATACCTAATTCACTGTAATGACAGAAGAAGGAATTACTTCTAAGATGTCATATATAGCAACCGTGTACCTTCGCATGAGTTAAAATACAAAAGTTAGTAGAATGGAGGAAGGATGGAAGTATAAAATTATAGGTTAGGATACATAATTATCATAAACTTATTATCTAAATAAATTTTAATTCTCATTGACACATCAAAACAATCACACAACAACTCACACACACATCCAAATCTACAGCTATTGCGTGATCATGCTTATGCAATTATATGCTTTTATTTTTAGTGATTTTCTTTTTTGTTTATAAAGACAAAGATTTTCTGTTTTAATGATGCCATTTTTGTGGCACTTTCCATGTGGGTATTGCATTATAGAAAAAGTTGGCAATACAAAGACATATGATTCACTTTGATTTGTAGAAAAGTTTGCTGTTACACTGCAGAAGATAACAGGATACATACATCTGCACAGCGATAAACAACAACAATGGGACAGCGTGTGTGTCTCATTCTCTGTATAAGACACTTAGTTATGTCATATCAATCTTGTTGCATTCAAATAAGAGACACGTCATACACAAGGCTAGCCTGTCAAAATATACCAGGTCTTATTGTAACAAAACTCTACCACAGCATTGACAATAACATCTTCCTCCTTGTGACAGATTCCATGCCATATATTCAAAATAAATTATAAATATTTCCAATTTTGTTAATGCTTTTACTGTAACTGATCCATACAAATTTTGATTTAAAATCATATTTGGTGGAATGACAGGCATTGCAGAATGTACTTTTATTAACATGATGCTGCAGTGTATATATTTAATAATTTATTCTTGAAAGCGCATACTCTACTTTCATAAATATGCATATAATCAAATGATGTAGTAGATAACACATTTATGTGATTGCAGACTATTTTTTTTAAGAATGACTTTAGACTATGACTGAAGCACATTCACAGACCATCAACTTTTCGTTTGTGGATGATATAGTTTTATTTTAGTTTTATGTTTGCCTGGCAACCTTTTATAAATGTCAAGGGGAAAAAAAGAACATGATTTTGTCTGCTTCCTTAATGGATTTTTGGGTTTGAATTGCACCAGATGTTTATGTTATGTATTAAAATATAAATTCATTGACTGTTCCTCAGTCCTGTTGTATGAAACTCCAAAACTCTACTGGAGTTTTAAAGCAAAATGAATCTCACAGAATTGACTATGTTATAGGTGATGCAATATCAGTCAGAGCTGTCACCAACAAACCATTTTGCATCTTTATACAATTTTCATGTGAAATTTACTGCAGAATTTACACTTTAGGATACAACTAGTACTCGGCAATAACTATAATGTTGCATGAAAGCTGTCACATGCTTTTATGGTTAGTCAACTGTCAACTTATCTCTTTTCTGTTTTGTCTAAAATCATACTTATAACATACCCATTTTATCTAGTAAAATAATGTACTGTAAAGTAATTGCATTCTGTTCTCAAAAAATATTGTCCTTCTTGTGGCCATGTTGTTTGTAGAACAGACTAACTTGATGCCATGCTAGTGTCTCCTACTGACAGAATGTTAATGAGAGTTGCCACCAACAGAATTATTTCCATAATGGAGGAAAGAACTAAAGATGAATTCTCTAGTTAATCCTAGAGCAGGTATGAGCTTAAAATCAATTATGTTACTGTCATAGATATATGAAACACAGTATAACTAATCTGTAATAACAACTGTACACTATTTGTAAAATTATTAATTTGAAACAACAAGAAAGGTTATCAAATAACACACCAAAGCAAGTATTCAAATCCATTAATATCTCATTTGTCTCCTTGTATCACTGTCTGATGAGCCCACATCCAGCAAATGTTCTTCCCTACCTCATAATATATAACTTGATGTATTTGCATATATTTTCTGTCTAAAGGTACTATGGACAGCTATCATTGAAAGATAAAGAAATCTGTTCCATAATGAGATTGTGATAGAAGAATGATTTATTTGCCTTAAAAATGTAATGTTAATTTCTGAAACAAGTGTCAGTGGCTTTTAAATTTAGTACCATTATCCTGCTCTAGAATTTAAAATTTCCAACATCCAGTACTTCAACTCAGCAACATGTAAAAGCTTCCACAATGTACATAAATGAACACATGGAGGAAACGTGTTATGAAAATACAAGAACCAAGACTTAAACTTTACAATGTATACAAGCACATTTCTGTATGATTTAAAACACAGATTTATCACAATGAACTTTAATTCTTAAGCATATGTCTTAAGTTAAAGTTATGAAACATATACTTATTACCATTACTGTTTCTGACTGCATCTCTTATAATACATACTTTGTTACATGATGTGCTTTGTTATTTTTATTCTGTCCTAAAAAGAATCCTTGAAATCCCTTGTAAAATAGTGCTCCTGAAATATTCCAATTATTAAATTAACCTTTACTCAACTAACAATACTGTAACTGGATAAAAATTAATAGAAAGACTTTAAATGGGGTGCTTTGAACATGGCAATAAACATTCTGGTTCCATAAATGGGGAATTCCTCGACTAGTTCATTGATTGTTTTTAATTTTTCAAGAAGGGCTGTGTGTTATGGAATTACCTAATTATTTAATAGGGATTTCTCATTCATGATAGTTTTATAAATTTACTGATATGTTGAAGGAGCCCAGATTCAAAGAGGGCTTGTCATAGAACTAAAGTTCTGAAGAGCTTTAAGTCTATTGTGTGTGGAACATTGAAATGATATGAAGTTGAAGAACTAACCCTTGTTCTTGCTAGGTGCAAACATTCATGGGCATAACTTTGAAGTCCTTAATATCAAAATGTATAATCCAGACTGTATATGAACTCGGGTTTCATGTGTGATATAAGCTACAACTCAAATAACGTGCATAATAATATGCTTCTGTTTCCTTTCAATATATAGATAGATTTGTGCCTTCCATATAACTGAAATGGGATATATAATAAGTAAATTTATTATTCATCATTATTCTAAAATTCTCAGTACCACTACTATCAGGAGTGAGTTTGAGAGCATTATGTGATCAATAAAGTTTCAAATGCATACTATGGAGTGAAGATACAAAGATTTTTCTCACTGAATATATGAAGATGAAACACTTCCAAATCGAAAGGTAATGTTAACCCTGTATTCAGCACTTTGACTGTGTCGATCGTATGCACATTTGATGACTCTCCATATAGTAGGTCCTGTGACAGTTCAGTCTTACTGAAATGGACTCTGTATGCTCCGCTACATAGGACTGCACATGTTAAATCACTTTACATTTGAGACTACTACTGTGTAACGTGTCTGATCCCTTAGAAAGTTTTCTTATTTCTTGTATATTTTAAATTTTTCTTACAGTAAACTAGTTACAAACCTGAGTTTTTAGAGGGCACAAGAAATGTTAACCTTTATTGAACTGGAGTAGGGGATTCAGGTCCTCATATCAAAAGGCTGTTGGCTGGACCTTGGCTCTGTGGTTAATGATTTAACAGTACTTTAGTGTGACACATGGCCAGCTGGATCACACATAAGATGCAGTGCACAGATGATAAAGGTTAAATAATCATTTACATTGCATACATGTAACAAAGCAGAATATTTCCTCCATTACATTTGTTCTAATAGGTTGCAACCCTGTTGGAACACGTGTTCAAAAGTCTTGTGACAATGAATGAGTTTCTGTTGGTTCTTACAAATAAATGATTAAGGATATGAGGAGGAAAGGGGGCCATCTTTGAAATCTGTTGTCATCCTAATGTAGTAAAATGGCCATATATGTAAACTGATTGCTTCGGTATGTTGAAAGATCTTCACAACAGTTTACTCTGTATTTATAAATTTCAAATGTATGTTCTAACAAGTCAAAATAACGTGTTGTCACTTCAATGATATACAGTATACACTATTTGGAAATTTTCAACTTATCTTTTTAAAAGACTTTAATATGTTGCATGAAACTGCAGGCACCGTAAAACCCATGTTTTAGGACAAATTTTGACAGCAAACTTATGGAATAGTTTCTGTTAACTCACAAAATAAAATAAAAGTTACTTTCATATTGCAAAATAACTCACTTCAGAACAAAAAAATTGTTTTTACTTTAGGGTACATGAAATTGTGGACAGCACAGATTCCCATAATATTTTTTTTTTACCATTATTAACACTTTAAGAATACCTCATTTGTTTGTTGTGATGTAATTTTTTAAGTACTGAGTAGAAGAAATTCATGACAGTTAATTATATTAACAGACTATGATTCAGTTCTTTTAATGTTTTCTAAAACTGATGTTACATGTTGGCAGTATTTTCAAACCATCCTTTCTCCTGTCAATCACAGATTGAACAGATAAAGGGAAGTCCAGGCAATTTAAATGTATATGTAGGACTAAAGTATTATATTATATCACTTTCAGAAAATTAATGTGATTTAAGTGCTGACACTGTCAAAATATCTTAAAGTGGTTCCTCACATCAGATTTCACTGTCATATGGGATATATGAAATTACTGTATTCTGGAAATTAAAAAACTATGTATACATCACAGTCAACATGATACTTGCCAAGGTATAATTCAATGTAACAATGATTCTACCAAAAAATGGCATTCTGTATTAGGAGCAATCTGTTTAAAATAAACAAATATCTGCTTTAGAGTTTTATAATTGCTAGGACAAATGCATTCAAACGACTATTTCTTCATAATGATATAAGTAAAAATATTGCTTTCCTTGATAATGGGTTTTACTGTACATTAATATATTTTTTAATCCCTTCATTAGGGAAACCAGCTTGCTTTTATAAGCACTTGACGTGTTAATCTTTCTTGTAAATTTTTAACATCTGTATACCTGAGTAAGTAAATTCTACAATTTGTCATATTCTAAGACATAATATAAGGGACTTCAAGAAATATCATTTATTTTAAAATCCAGTCTAATTTAATATATTACAGATACTGTCCCCCACATCACCCCTCACCCCAAATTACTGGAAGATACACTTATAATAATAGGCCATTTTTGTGTACAGTAGGTAACTTGCATTAAACCTCTGCTTTAAATATATGAACTGGTTGTGTGTTTACAACTTACATAGGATACTGTTTAACAATATGGCCTCCAACCTCTGGAATGCCTACAAAAACACAAACAGATGTCAGTTTTTTATGGGTTTAATCCTACTTGTATATCACATTACCATATAATAAATCAAGCACTCACAGACAGCTTTTTTCTTTCAGTAATTTTTTATAAATTTTCATATAAAATTTTCAAACTCATCTTTTCAACACTATCATGTACTTAAAAATATATGTATGAATATAATATGTGTGTGTGTTCCATATACATGTGCAGCATGTGATTAAGATAGAAACTTTACAAACCTACAACAATATATTGTAACACTCTGGGAGACAGGAAGCTGTGATCCATTCATCCAAGCAGCCAGACACTGTTTAAGAGATTCACAGGAAAGAAATGAGCAGACACATCAAGGTCCAGGTGTACATAATTTTTGTACAATTGGCACACCTGTTCTTTGCACAAATCAGTGAATGGGCAAACATGGAAGAAGTGTAATCTAAAACCACAGTTCATGTACATAAAGAGTCTTAATACTACCAGTATCATTTGACAATATGTAATTTAAACCTCATCATTTTGATATTTCTGGGCAAATTTATTGCATTCAAAAATTATGCAAAAAGACCATTATTATTTCATACTGTCACATGCATAGGAAGATTGGACCCAAGAATTTGCATGATATTCAGCTTACTTCTTGGATCCTGTTTTGCTAATATTTATATAAATAAAATGTTGTTTAAAATAATTTCAAAACTTGAAGAATTTGGTTCCAAACCAAATGATCCTATCTGTTTGTATATTTTAGTTGCTTAGCTGGTAAATATATATTATTCTTAGATTTTCTATGAAAGGATGTTTGCTTATTGAATATTTTAATTTTTGTTGGTTGATACCTAATATCCCCTTGGAGGGAGGGCCTTGGGTTGAATTCCATTACCACCATTATGGAGGTGAGTATGAAGATATTAGTCAGCAGAGGGGCCATCCAGTCTGAGTGCTCTGAACTTCACTTTTTCCAGCTGAAATGTTACCTTTCTTAGAAGTGACGACTTTAATTGTAAGCAGAATTTACACACAGATTTGACAGGGGATCAAACCAAGATCATTCTGAATAATAGTCCAGAGTCTTTCGCCAAATCCACAACTTCCCTTCTTCATTCTTATATAAGTTGTATTAAGATGACCTTAATTTTTATGATCTAAATTGAATCCTATCAATACCCATGTACATCAAATACACATGTCACAAAATGTTTAATTTCAGCAATTTTTCTTTTAATGTTTCTACTTTTCGAAATCTTTTCATATCTTATCGCTTCTTGTTCAGTTCTTAATACTTCATTTAAACTTGGTGTATTTTATAATGTACAAGCAGTATTTTTTATACTGTATAGTTTTAATCAACCAAACCTGTTAACAGTTTTCTAAAAGTTCTTGGCTCTATTGTATTCTCTCTGCATATTATTCTTGGACTTTTCCAGACTGACTGAATTTTTACCAGGCAAATAAGAACATCTTTCAGCCTTCTTGAAAGTGCTGATATTTCATTTAATTTCTTGCATAGCTGTAATTTTAATTCAATCCTTCATTATTATACTTTTATCCCCAATTGATTTTTAAAATTGGTGTAATAAAATGGTCTGTTCTGATAAAAAAACTTTTGACTGTAAAATATGGAACCACACTATGACTTCCTATGAAGTGTAATTTCATTATGGAATTCATGTAGTTTGGACTAAAAATCTGGTTATAATGCAGTCTTTACTGTAACATGATTTTACAATACGGACCCCGTAAACTGTGTTATAGAGGGCACCAGTTTAAGTTGGGCAAAAACATGTGTAATATTCCATCACTATATTAATTTCACACTAGAACTATTCAGTGAGCTAAAGAAATAAAAAAAAGGGTTTATACTGGATGTAACCTTAAATTGATTATTTGTGTAGTGACACTGGTAATAATAAAACTTTCAAATATTTTACCCCTGGACATACTGACATTCAATGTTTTCAATTAAAATCACCTCTCTTCCCAGAATGTGATTTTACAACAGCCAGCTCTATTTACAAAATACATTATTAGACCTCTACATCATGACTTGTCATTAGCCCCCTTATAAATTCATATAGTTAACGTGTAATGTAACAAATGTGATATTTAAAATATGTAAAATTTGGCAACAGGCAAATCAAATACTTCCCACAGCTGTACATTACTCACATTCAACAGGTGATGCAGTACATCTTTCAACAACCTTGTACGCATAATAAAATGCTATAGTGATGAACATCAATGAACACTGACATACAGTTACTGCATGTAACAAACACAAGAGATAGTTTTGATGGAACAGAAACACCTACTGACATAAAACTACAGTCACTGTCAAAAAGCACAAGTCTGATGGTATCAACTGTAACTGCACATCATATACTTATATATACACCTACTGCGATAGTTAAAACGTAGCTGTTTTTCAGATGTCTGACGTATCTGCTGTCACTTTAACATAAAAGGAAACATTACAGTTAATGGCAAAATATAGAGATCTAATACCTTAAATGTCATGGTCGTAATTACAATAAATGTCACTTCAATGAATTAACTGCAGTAGAAGTCAACATAATATTTTTTTATAAGAATGTTAACTGGTATTAGAAATTTCTGCTATGTATCACAATATTTTTCATAAAATGAAGCTTTGTTGCATTTGGGAAATGACTCCATGGCGTTCACCGCAATAAAACAGGCAGTAAATCAGAAATTCAGTTAAGTTGCTGAAGATGGTCCTAAAAGATGACATAGATCCAAGATGTAACAAAGGGCCAGCAAATTTTATGATGTATCACTGTGAAAACTAGCAAGATTGTTTCCATTCAATGACTGGAAGTTTTATTCTGTCTGAGATACACAGACATGATTTATATAAAAAGTGCAAAAATTACCAACCTAAGGATCTCACCAAGGTTATGTAATCCAGGATTCTGCTCGGGAAGTCTTGGGAATTGTGCGAGGATATTGTCAAAGTAGTTCACACTCTGGACTGTCAGCAAGTATGAAGAAATTATGCCTTCTCTTTCTCTCTCTCTCCCTCTCTTGAGATATTTGTATGTAATTTAATAAGGAATGGGAGAGAAAATATACATTAAGCTAAAATTAATGAGTACATATGCTACATTTTGGACGTAAATTCTGTTGTCTTTCTTCACATCCTGTTGTGTTGAAAGATGATGTTTTTATGTGTTTGTGCAAGTGCACTGTCTCTTCTTAACAAACACAAGAACACTGATCACACTAAGGGCTGCGAGTATTTTCCAGTACATGACGCAGTTTCTGATGCTCTTCCAGTGGACCATACAAGAGTAGCTAAACTGCTAACAGAAATTGACGACTTAGTGAATAAGCAATACAAATAACATGCCTGTGATGATTTTGTGTAAGCAATTAACCAACTGAGAAATTAATCTTGAGCAATATTATATATAAACATGTTGTGATTAGTTGCATTGATGATGAACTATGTGGAATGGGTTACAAATTTATTCCTCCATAAATCCAGTTCCTTGCATATAAATATCAGTATGGCAGACAGATACTCATTAGTGTAGCAATGCTTACTGTTTTGAAGCTGATAAACAATTATACTTCATACTCTGTCACCATCTCATCTCACTGAACACCAGCCCTATACATGCCAGAAGTGCTCATACATGTGCGAGTTTAAGACCATATTTTAACAAAATAAATTATATTTATAGTTAAATAAAGTTAGAAAGCAGGAGTCCCCTCTGAGATTCAAGGATCAAGCATGGCAAAGACCCCACAATGTGCCATAATGCCTATGCCCACGATTCCATGTAACATGGAGTCGCACTTTAATACCCACCAAAAAAGTGCATAGTTGAGAAAAAAAACTTACCACGTTACATGCCATAGTCAAAGGATTCCCATTCACTCATCCTTGAGTCTTGTTGCTGAAGCCTCTGTTGGCATGCAGCCAGATAACTGTCTTGTACCCGATACATGCCAGAGTTCGCCTGGAACATCAGTGTCTCCAGGATGCGTTCATTCTTGATCGCTTTACTTGGTAGCACAATCTGAACAAAATCAACAATTTCATCAGAACTGATAGCTTGGCAAATGAAATGGCCATGCTCACATAATTGTAAGTTGTACTCTAGGTTTGAATAAGTGGGTACATTAACAAACAACTTCCTTAAAGTTCTGAAAGGAACATAAACTTAAATTAGGGACATATACGAAGACACACGCACTTCTACACTCGCGCTAGACTCAATGTAATTCTGAAATGTCGGGAAACATAACTGACAAACCTTGATGAGTTCCTGAGGAGATATCCTATAAAGCTTGAGATCACGAGCAAGTCGCTCCATAATGCATTTGAATTCCAACTTGGCATCCATTTTGGACGATGTCTTGGTGCGTATTTTGTGGCGTGCCCATCCCAGCATTGCTTCAAACTTGCATACCTCGGGCACATCAAGGTTGCGGCACATTATCATCTGAACCATTGACTCAGATAGCATTAGGAAGTCTTGCACCTGAAACAGCTTCATGAACAAAAAATATCAACATAATCATGTCGTCCATATCTTTATTTTCTTTCTTTCATTTTCAGTTTCCAATATCATAACTGATATGAGTGCAAAGCAATGTTAATAGTTACTTGGTTAAAAAAAGAGGAAGGAAAAAGTTAAAAAAAGAGGAAGATCTGAGGATGGTTAGAAAGAAGAGGAAAATAAAACATAAGAAGGAGATGAAAATGAGAATGGAAGGAAAGTTAATAATATTAAATAGTTCATCTTATGCTCTACCTGGTGTGCTCTACCCTCCACAAAGGCAAGAATCATATTGACGAGTTCAGAGGCTGAAGTATACCTCCAATAATAGTTTTCTAGTGAGCAAAGCATGATGCAAACCTGTAACACACAATAGTTCAATCAGATTGCTAAGTAATCAGTTCAGATATTTTCCTTGCTGAAATAACAAATGTTGAAAGAATGATGGTTTTCAGCAAACAGCTATAACTTTATTTACTTTGAATATTATTTTAGTTTTCATATGTTATATATGTTCCTATATAGCAATTTAATCCTTTCTAATCTATAAAAGACTGGCATGACTTAAACCAGTCTTTTTATTTGATTGTCTTTCATGTGTGTTATCGTATGGTAACCACTGATACCGTCTTCTGAGAGTTCATACAAATAATAAGATTTTTAATAAGTGTATTGTAAATTACGATGAAAGAACGTTTGAGTTTTAAAAGATCAACATTCAAAGTAATAATAATCCACTTCACCAAATATTGTAAATTTGAAGCCAATTAGCCGCATCCTCATTTAAGCATTGTCGGGGTTTTGACATTAACTTAATTTTTGCTAAGTAAGATTTAAAGCCTTCACAGAACTGAATGCAATAGTCTTCTCAGGTGCACTGCTAGAGACAGTCTCCAAAATGCTGGATTTTAACTCCATACTTACATATGTAATCACCCAAGAAGACTTCATTGATTTCTGCTGGTAAGTTGGCCAACAGCAATGCACCAACTGGACTTACCACTTCTATCCGAAGGAACTGCTTTGCATGATGGAAGCATGCTTGTAGTAACTCAGGAAGATCATAATGCTCTGCGGCACAGATAAGCCCTGGGATATTCGAGCATGTCAACGGACAGGAGCCTGTGTGGAGGTAGTCCAACAGGATCCGGAATGTCTCCGGGTCAAACTCTATTATTGGGAACTGCACACCATACATTAATATATGTTACAACAGTACTGCAGTTGGATAATGCTTTGGTAACAGTACCCTTGAATGTGGAATGACAGAAAATTAAACAGATGAACTGAACAAGCGTTAAAAATGTGATACATGGTTCTGTACTAATTCCCAAATTAACACGATGATAAAGTGAATGAAATCAAGGAGGGTAAGATGAGTGGAGCTGGCACACAGTGGTGAGATGAAAAATATACACAAAATATTAATCAGAAAAACTGAAGTAAGGGACTACTCAGGAGACTTACATATAGATGGGAGGATTATATTAAAATGTGTCTTAAATATATAAGATATAAACATGTGAACTGGATTTGTCTGGCTAAAGATAGGGTTTAGTGGTTGGCTATCTGAAATTTCAGGTTCCATAAAAGGTGGAGAGTTTCATAACCAGCTATGTGACACTTCACCATAAAATGTTCAATTTATTTTACTTTAATTTAAAAACTCAGTCAAACATTAAAGATTAATGTGACTTTCCTAACGTTGGATTCACTCAAACAGAAAAATTCAGTCACGTGAACAGATTAGAATCACCAAGCAAACGTCACTTTAGTTTTTCAAAATTTAAGACTGCCAAGATTGTAACAGTACGTCTGACTAGGTTTGCTGAATTGATTTGTGTGAAATCAGACTGAATTTGATGAAGGTCCTGAAAGGTTTTAAAAATTAAAAATTTCTCTTAATGATCTCTTCTGATACTGCAGACTTTATATGATGTGTTTGTGGGAATAACTAGCATTAATGATTAATCGTATACCTCAGTCTGTGCAAGCTTGGTCCTGTCCACCTTCTGAGCATCAGCACAGACGCTGAGTCGAGGGACCGCAAGCTGTGGAATCTGTGACTTCCCTTCCTTGTCCTTATCTTTACCTTCCTTATCTGCAGGTAGACAGCATCACATTATACACTGCTAGACACTCAGTTATACTAACGATCATTCTTGTTACATTGTATGAGATTAATAAATTCATGTTTAATAGAAACTGTGTTTAAAGTTTGGGTTTTACGACTAGAAAGTGAGTTAGTCTGGTAAACAGCACATAAGAGCCCAGAGAAAACCATATATATGAATAAAATTAATAACCTGACGTTTTCGTTCAAAGGAAAAACAGGCAACATCTCTGTTTTTCAAATTCCAGTTTACTGCTCATTGAAACCATACACCAGAATTTTCAGAATGGATTTTACAGTTCTGCCTTATAATCAAGGGTTCCTCTGTATTTTTATTCAATACAATGAAAAATCAAATTATGTTTTGCATTTCTGAGATGCATTCTCACGTTTAATATCAAAACAGGCTATTCATATCTATTTTAACTAAAGGTTCCAAAAACTGATTTATACCCTTAATATCAGGAGTCAGAAACATGGAGTGGGGTCTTCCCATGATAATTATTAATAGAAGATAAAGTTTCTATACTAGTTAATTCCTTTAAAAGTATAATACAGCATTCTTATCCTCGTTTTGAAGAATATACCAATTACGACTTACCATTTTTTTGAGAATAACATAAAGCAAATTCAACAAATGAGAAACCGTAAGGAAATGGTTCCATTGTTTTAATTTATACTAATATGACATGTCTTCAAAGCACAGATGAATGAATAAATTATATGGTGTTTGTTTATCCGTCTCAGTTCTTGGCTATCAGAACAAATTTAAATATCTGTTGCTAAAAGTACCAAAGTCAGAATGCTAATATTTGTCAATAAATATGTAAATACTACTGAAGGACTGTCTTCATCCAAACTTCGTAAAAGGAGACAATACTGAAATGTTGTATACGAAGAAAGATGGGAACAACCAACAAGCAACCATCAGCTGATTACTGAATACAAGCTACGATCCGTGTACTGGAAGATTTATATTTTTACTCTTACAATGTATTTCTATGTGGTTGTGCAAGAAAACACTTTGTAATAAAGTGAATTTCTGTGCAACTGATAAACCTCCACATTCCACAATAACAAGTTTCAGAGTTATCAAATAGGAAATTGTCTGAAAGCCAAGTGCTGAGATGGTACAACTATTTATTGATAGGTAGCTCACTGGAGCAGTCCTGTGAGGAGGACCACTTCTTCTTGTCGTCGGCAGTGAGTTGGGAGTGCTGCTTGCGAATGGATCGGCCCCAACCAGCTGTCAGGTTGCCAAGGCGAGAAAATGCTCGCTTCACCATGGGTGAGCTAGGTACGCTTTTGGGCCTGTAGAGTGAGACAAGGCACAGCTCCTCACCACACACACAAAACAACAGGCGCTCGTTTGAGGTTAGGAATGGGACAACACAAACAAGCACAACAAAGCAAAGAATGGCCCTCACTGAAAATGTGGCATTTCTCATCTTACACTCTATTATTTCGAATGACATTAAAAAGAAATTATGCCTAAGAAAGTGCATTAGTGATTGTCAGCGTTCTTCCACTTAATGACGTGACCAAGTAATTTTTACCTTGAACCAGATTTGTGAATAATACACATCCCATCAGAATATTATGGTGTTCATGTTACAGGAACATCTTTTGCGTGTAAAACCAACAAAAAATATACAAATGTTAAATATAAAAGTAACGGTACAAATTATCAAGAAGAAGCAACACTGGATGGTCTACGTCAGTGGTATTCAACTTGCCGCGTACTGCCAGATACAATTTCTCTTCAACTTTATACCCCCAAAGTTGTTGGTGTATAATTCAAGTTATACATAGTATATAATATACATCTAAAATAAATTAAATAAATTACATTACTGATTATTCAGTGTTTATCATAAAATAATATATATATTTTTTTAAATTTCACGTAACTCCTAAGATGTCTTCGCGTACCCCAGGTTAAATACCACTGGTCTATGTGATTACATATGAATAATATATGCACTGAATTTATTTGATCCACTTCATCAACTTGAAATTAATATGTTTTAGACAGTTACAGATTAGGTACACATGACTTTAACAAAAGACGTATAGTCAGAGTCAGTGAGTAATAAATTAACCTTTCATAAAGAGAGGTTATGTTTCAACAATCACTTATACACTTCAGATACACTGAACACACTAAATATCAGTAATGTATTTTCCACTCTGGAAACTCGAAGCAAACAACTTCCACTGTAGATAAGAATATAAATGCCTCATTTGTTCACCTTATCTTTCTGTTCTATAATTTCTTCATTTTTATCTAATTATCAGATTTTTTTATTTCTGCATAGATGCACTTACAAAACTGGAAAAAGTTGGATCTTGGATAACAAAAGTGAAACATTTTATTATTTTGTGTAAGTTATTTTATGAATGTCTTTCATAGTTATCATTTACACACCTACAAGTATGTATCAACTGACAGATATTTACGAGAGAAATTTGGGCTAGAATTACTAGCAACTGAAAATATAAATGACGGAGGAACAATTGCTTTATAAAACTTGGTTGTTAATGATTTTTTAAAGGATGGCAATTAAATTCATACCTGTTCGGACATGATTAAGTGTGTAGCATCTTGACGCTGCGTGTGGTATTGTGTTGGTTGTTTCTGCCGTGATGTTGAGTTGTAAATGACAGTGGAATGAAAATGAACACAACATACAGAAGTCGCAATACTAATTCATGCAGAATATCGTATATAACATGCCACAAGAAACAGTTTTTGTCAGATATTATTTAATTTGCACCTTACTTTATTTCCAGCTGAAAACAATAAAACCATTAACATGCACGCAAACAGCACTGGTAATCAAATTGACATTCTAATTAATGTTATGTTCTCAAATTTAGGTTAGAAGTGGAAAACAGGTTTGTTAAAAAGGAATTTTATACCCGAAAATCGATAGATTTTGATGCAAATGAGGGTTTTATTTAATTCATATGGCATCTCATTAACATCCAGAATTCTTTAGAATTCCTTCAATAAAACGTAAACTATATAAGCTTCAAACGCCATCGATGTTCATTACCTTTCAGGCCTCTTCATTGTACGTTAGATATTTCAGCAGAAATGGAATACAGAATATTAAAACTGATGTTGGAAGACTACCTTTCAGCCAGCGACACAGACAGTCAAACAGACAGTTCCAGAAATTATTGACAGAATGCGCTAAAGAAGAACAAAGATCCGTGTTCCATTGTTTGTAATCAAGTGACGTTTTAGTATGACAACAACTGAAGAACTGAACATAGGAACGGAAGTTTTCTAAATGGTGGAATTATTAAGATGTCAGATGAGTGTTATTGACGCATAATTTGGGCTGCTGTTTATTAAAAATAAATCGTCATAGGGTATGAGTGGGAAATACCTTCACCTTCCAGGGATGCGTTTTGGGGAAAAAAAGAACATTAATAAACCTCTGTCTCATATGATTAATATGACAAATTTACATACCAAATAGCCTGTTTCTGTATCTAGTTTGAAGGGAACGGTTCTCAGAGCGTTTGTTGTTTCATGATGGCTACTGATGATGTCACGTACTGCTCAGATAGGTCATCAAATATTTATCCGAAAGATAATAATGTTATTCAGTGATCGCGACACATTCAAATGTGGAATATTCTGCGAATAATTACTCTTGAAGCCTGTGTTTAATTACAGGTGTTGACAAGTACAGAGTGCGCACATTTACTGACTGTGCTGCAGTGCGCTGATACAAATACGTCATTTTAGGCAGCTATTGACTTCCTGAAACACGAACCCTTATTTCAAATTTTTTTTATGTAATATCTCTTGGTAATTTAAAAATGAAACGTTAATATAAGAAAATAGAGAAGGTTAGGTTAGGTTAGGTTAGTGGGTTTACGTAAAAAAAGTACTAGTTATTTACTATACATCATAATAGGTAAGGTACTGTTGACTCATTACAATATCCGGAAAAGAGTACAAATTATGAAACTCTTAATTATGCAGTTTTCTCATCCTTCCTGTCACTTTCTCTCTCTTTGGGTCCAAATGATGATTTCGGTACCTGATTTTCAAACAGCCTGAGCCAGTGTTCTGCCATTAGAACGACAAAGATATTTGATTGGTTTACGTGCTTTTGTCATATTACGAGCTATTCACGAGATCATGCCCAAGACTTCATAGACGTAGTTATACGAACAAAAACGTGACCAACTGGAATTTACTAATTTACAGTAAAGCCATTTACAATCACACTACCGCAACACAGGAAACTCGTTTAGGGAAATGGCTGTAACTTTGGGCTAGTGAAAGGACTGTACTTCTTCGAGGGGTTGATAGAAAAAGGATCCACATAAAATTAACAGCCACTTTTCAACTATGTGAAGTGTTTACCCAGAGCCAGCCACGTTCAATGCGAGTTGTTGGTTGAGGGTGAACTGCTGTGGTACGACGGTGACAATGACCACTTCTCACTCATTGCTTCTATCAGTCGAGAACATTCGACAGCACAAACAAAAGACTGCAGACATTGCGACGTGATAATGAAGTCCGAGGGTCGACGGAATTCCCGAACACAAAATATTGAAGCTGCTAATGTGAGTCTGACCATTAATCAGAAATCATGTTGACTGTAGAACAAGAGGAATGGTGCTCATGCGAGTTACATAAATACTGAAGGGAGACGTTCATATCGTATCTTGTACCGACTGATTAATTCGCTAGGTTCAAACAATGGAAACATCAGGTACATATAATTTATACCAGAAAGAAATCTTTGTGGAAGGAATTTTCGGTCAGAATTTAGTATTTATAATGCGTTCTTTGCACAAAAGGAACGTATGCTGGATTGACAGTGTCTGTGAGCATTTTTCAACTCGATAAAAAGTAGACGGAATTTAATAAAATCTAGTATGGACACTATGGTACTGAAGGCTACCAAGAAATTCGCATATATTTAAAAGAATATTTTTTATCCAGTTAACGTACACTCCACGCCTAAATTAAATTAATACATAATTTGTCTTCTAATAAAATTATTTTTTTATCTTAGCAACATACAAAAGGAAAATAAATAATAATTTTGCATTTTTATTTTATTTTATTCCAACTCGGCTTAGCATAGGTTTAAACAATTTTAATGATTACCTAAACAAATCACAAATATGTTTAAATACGTCTATGCTAGTAAGCAAATTTAGTATTTTAATCCGACGTTCCAGTATATAAATATAACACCTGAAGATGGAGATGGGCTATGCCGAAACATGTAGTGTTAGTTCATATGTGACATGAAAATTCAAATTGTGTTGTTATACACATAATAACAATTATGTTCATGGTTTTATTTTTAAACAAATGTAAAGTTTATTCGAGACTCGTACCCCGAAATGAGTAGAAATGAACACAGGTTGAAAACTTGTTACATTTCACTTCAGGGATTCTTTTCGGTTCAGTATTAATGTTTATCTGTTTTTGGATGATGGTGCCATGTAGATGTTGGCTGTACTGCACTTCGCCTTGAAGACGGAAACAGCAAGTATCTCCGAAACATCGGCCATGCAGCCCATATGTACTCAGTGCAGGATCAAAATCAAGTTCAGTGTTGCCCTTCTTTAGACAACGAATTTAATCAAAATCCATTTATTTACTCGGAAAACGAAACACGCGGACAGACAAATTGGAAAACGAGATCTGTCCATTATTCGTTTTCTGGATATGGAAAAGAGGTTGAACTCGGCACTTCGGAATTCAACTAACTGTTACGACGCTGTGGAGCGTCGGGTAGAGGCGACGCCTCACGTACGCTTGTGACTGTAGCTGCGTCGAGTTGCCCTTTTGTCACGTCGAAGAACATCTGAAGGCTCAGATGTTTCGTTGTTCAAATGAAACCGATCATTGAGAGATAAGGCGTGTTGTCCGATGCATGAAACCAGATTAACTTCCACAGTCACGTTCGCCCAGTCGTTTCACGATTCGCGATAAAATTTTTGTTTAACTTTCATTTACTCGCAAGACGAGAGAATCCGAAAGAATTATGCTTTAGTTCGTCGACATCTCTTCAGGCTTTTACACCACACATTTGTAACGGAGGTACACGACAAGCTTTACCGCTTTAAACATTTTTAGGAACGCGCCAGGACGTCAGAATTAATTAAGGTTATCAAAGTTAGATTAGGCATAAAACATTTAAACTGACGGGACTTGTGAATAAATATAAAAAGAGAAGTCCGGACTTAGCAATTTTCTTTGTATGCAAGTTTTTGAAATCAGGTTTTGCAAAGTACATTTTACTACACAAATTGAAACATTCAAA